ATTGGATGTCGAAAAGTTATGTTGTCCTAGGAGTTGCCTCTGTCCATGAGGGTGCTCCAGTTATCCGGTAACTGCGTCATTTCTTTGCTGCACAAGGCTTCAAATTCAACAAATGTTTCCGATGATTCAGTGAATAATTCGAGAAAATGCCCTTTTCTTAGATACCATATTTTCACATTTGTAAATCCATTTTTCTCTCTCTCTCTCTCTCTCTCTCGATAGGTTCTTTCTATAGAACTTCACAATAAAGTCGTGTAATCTTCATAGGATTTGCACATACTTGAGCAGCAGAGTTTAAATAATATATCCTACGTTTGGTCAAGGTATCTTGATAAACCAGAAAGTTTTTCATATAAGAACCAAATTATAAGCCAATTGTTCTTATGGTAGCTAAAATATGTCTTATATATTGATGCGATATTGATAAGGCCGATGTTGATAAGAACTTTCAAAGTATCAAGAAAGTAACTTAAAAACTGAGGGACTAGTTTGCATGGAAACAGACGGGGATAAACGGACCGCACAAATCGACTTTTGATGCTGATATATATATTTTATTAGGTCGAAAGGTGACATCTTCTATACGTTACATATTTCATAATAAAAGTATATTATGCGGCTTAAGATTTGATTAATTGATTATAATAAACAGTTGAGGTTCCTGGTTTCCGGCATGCAGTCTTAATTTCCATATTGTCCTGCTTTATATGTTGATTAAAATTAGCTAAAGTTATGCTTAATAATTTCCAATTAGGATTAAAATCTAGAGTTTTAAATTTTATGAAAATTAATGAATCGAGAGGGCAATTAAATTAAATTTTATTACAAAATGTGCACACTATTCAAATTAGTAAATAATTTGAACATGAAATTCAAATTCAAACTGTTTTCCACGTTAAAGATCAGCTTATTTTTATTGTGATGCTACTCGCACGCGATAGTATCGATAAGTATCGCAAGTACATACTGTACTTTCCAATTGGAAAGCTCTTGCTTACACACGTGAGCTGACCCGCAAACTCGATTAGAATGCAATTTGGATATAAACTTTTGAATATCAATAAGATTTTGTATGAAAATGGAAATTTGCCGTGCTTGCATGAGCGACTCAGTAACCCTGGTGGATATATTCTGCGATCGGCCATTACCCGACTATGAATATAGCCTGGCTGAGATGCTAAACGAGCTCGTGGACTTTAAGGTGAAGCGCGATGATAAGCTGCCGCAGAAGATATGCGTATCTTGTGGCCTGAATGCCCAAATTGCGTTTAGATTCAGGCGCAGATTTGAGCAAAGCCATCGACTGCTCTGCATGAAGGCTATGGAAGACGAGAACCTTTTCGTCCATGTGCCGGAAGCAGATCCCAGCGCAAGCCAGGCGCAGCAGAAGCCACAGCACTCAATGCCGGCGATCAACGAGAAATCCAACTTTATTCTGGACAATGCTCGTAAATTACGCAAGGGAAGACTTCACAGCAGCGAGGAGCTCATCACCATCAGCAGCAGAAGTGCATCGCGTGAAATAGACGGCAATCTCATAGTAGCTATGCTGGACATAGACTCTTGCAACGGCAGGGCTCAGCCGGAACGCTCATCCCCGATAGTGGACAATGCTGACGCTTGTAAACCTCATCGTTATCCGCTGCGCCATAAGATCTCCAGCCAGAACGCGCCCAACTCTGTGGGGAATCCTACCGTGCCCCATCCCATGCGCAGCACGTTGCGTTTGTTCAAATGTGATACGTGCAATCTATCGTTCGCCTCAAAAGAAAATCTAAGTAAACACAAGCTGCAGCATGCAGGCAAACGTCACTTTAAGTGTCTACATTGCAAGAAGGCGTATCGCAAGAAATCGAAACTTCTGAGACATATACAGACGCACATTAAGGAGCATCCGAACATGTGTGCACAGTGCTCGAAACTCTTAAGATGCAAATCGGATCTACAGAAGCATCTCTACTCCCACAGCGAGGAGCGTCCGTTCGTTTGTCCCCATTGCCAGTTGGCCTTCAAGCATCAATGGCATCATAAAAGACATGTACTCAATCATTCTAAAAAGGAAGCGTACAAGTGCTCCGCTTGTGATAAAAGTTTTTCCAACAAATGGAATTTGAAATCACATTCTCGTTTTCCGCACAGATGCTTGACCAAATGAACAACACAATACAAATTGATTAGGGACTCTCCTTTGAGCCCATTTTTACATATTATTAACTTTATAAAAGACATTTTTTAGTTTTAGGTATTTTGATTTTTATTTAGATTATAAAATTTTCTACTTTAATATTGTTAATTATTAATTAAGACAGGAAAGCGACTATCTTAACTACGAGAATTTATAAATTGTACATAAAATAAGCCCGAAATTTCATCTTACTTTTTAATGTTTACCAAACTTTAATGTTGCCAGTGAAGTTAACCAAAATACAAATACAAAATTTGAGCAAAACTCAGCCCGCTTGGGTTCCAATATTTGGTTAAATTTAAGCAGTCTCTTAGTTGCTAGTTTTAAGACTTTATTTCAGTTCAACAATATTTTTAGAAGAAAGGGCTTTAAAAATGAATTGAACAAGATTCAATTCAAAAATTAGCTTTAAAGCCGAGTTCAGAGACCGAAATCCGGCAGGAAGCTTGTTCGAACCGTAAAAAGAAGAACAGACCAATTTTTTTTTTGGAGTTGCCAGCAAATGTTAAGATTATTCTCAATATCTGAATAACAAATATGTATAAACTATATTGAATTACGATTTTCTAAGATAAATGCAAAATCCAAACAATCATCCCGAAAATTTTCTCATATTTGAATGTCACAAGTTTCATTATTCAAAATAATATTCTTGCAAAACTAAAGTAAGCATTTAAAAGTTTGAAACGTAAACTTTTTCGAGCAATGATTTTTTTGGCTAAATGTAGTGATCAGAAAAGGTGTAATTAGTTGAGTAAGTGTAATTGATTGATACTTATATATAAATATACACTTTAGTTGGACAAAACATTAGAATATCCGAACAGTTATCAAATTATATAAATGACTATCAATCAAAATCGAGGCATAGACAAAATGAGATTTGCGGAACCAGCAAGGCCTGATATTATGCATTTCGTCATGCTAGGCTGGCGGCCTGCGAGCACCCTTTTCGGCTAACGTGAGCTGGCCTGGTGTCACATGTCAATTTGTGGAAAACCCAACGGATTGGGGTATGTGCTGGAAGACGGCTTTCTTGACAGGCAGCGCTCCTGGCAATGGAGTGCAACGCCCAATGTGTTAAACCTATCCATTAATATTAATAGTCGTTTGCCGCGGTTAGCGTGGTGCGTGTTGTACGTGACTTTTTCGTAACCCTTTCCCAAACGAAATGTATCTTTGGCAAGCTTCTTAGCGGCTGTTGGTAACCTTATCGTTTGATTTGTAGACATTTTATTGCTTTATTGATGCATTTTTATCAAAAGCGCAGCATATTGTTTGATGGATTGTTTGGCTCGTTGGGTCTGCCATGGCCCTACCTGAGGCTTACACCCGGCGCAAATCGTCAGTAATTTTATGCTGGTAGACCACCGCACAGCACAGCGCACGCAATTTGCCTTGGGAAAGTTTTCTTTTGTCAAAATTCTTATTTTGATTGGCACTTGGGAGAAAGGGTGAGAAAACAAAACGAGAAGTTGTTTATGGGAAAGTCTAAACAGCGTAGGAGCCAAGTCTTAAAGAAACGCAAAGATATTTGTGAAAATTATAACAAAAACAAGTAGAACAGAGATTGTAGAAAATAATAAATGAATAGAGCTGGGTATTGGCTAAGAAAAAATATACTTTGAACTGTACTTAAATTTTATGGTTTTTTTGTTTTTGTTAATATTCGAGACCATGTACAAATTATGCATAGTAAAATCCCCGAGTAAGCTATGTGGCTCAAGCCACTAATAAATTACTAATGCTCACCTCCCAACAAACTTTGCGCAAAATATTAAATTTTACGAGCTTAATTTGTGTGCGTGCTTAGCTTAAGGGTGAGACTGCTGCGACACCCAAATTGTTGTTGCCCTGGACAACAGGAAGAGTAGCAGCTAGGCAAACAATGTCAATTACAGCGATTGAAAAGCGGGCCAGAAAACTTGGTGTACTTGTGCGGATCGCATAAACCAATTTTATTGAAGCACAACCAAAAAGCCGACGATGCCATCGAACTAATCTCCTTAACAAGGCGAGTATTAGAGCAACTGGCAGACGTGTAGGTCCTAGTCCATGTTGGGTCTATTCATATTTCAAAAGGCAACTTTGCGCGACTCGAAAATGGCATCATTAAAGTTTACGACGCTTGTGCGGCGTAAAGCATGCCAAGCTGTTTTGTAATAAAGGGTATTTCGCCGACATTTCGACATGAATTTTGAAATGCCCGCCACTTGGTGTTGTGGCCATTGTTTTTTGGGGCAACCCAAGGCCCAGGCACAGACATGCACAAGTGCAGAATGCAAAAGTCTCAGTCCTTAACTTGCCTGGCCATAGATCTTATGTGTATGCCTGGTGTAAAATCAACAAAAGTCATCAAAAGATACGCGCCAGCTTTAGTCGCCGCATTCCTGGCTGAAAACTTTGCATATTAAATGTCATTTGGTAAAGTGGAATTAAGGAAGCGTTCGCTACAGGAAATGCTGTCATGGCTCGGGAGCTGTCACAGCAAATTATGCTGAAATGCGTCTGTCAAGGATGTGCGGATGTGGATGCGGATGCGTGTGGGTTGCACATTTGCACAACATGGTGGGGGGCATGCATTGAGCCATAAATGAAAACTAAACAAGATTTTCGCAAAGAGCGCTGCGCTTGCTGCAAATTTTATGAGCTAATTTTAATGAAGTTGCTGAGAGATGCCAAAAATTTGATGAATGTCGACACGAAACAGACAAGTTTATAAATTATGCCAAAGAAGTTAAGACTACGCCAACAAGCAGCTAGAAATAAGATATATATATGTATACATTAGCACGCATGCCAGATAGACAGACAGTTATATGATTACAAATTCTCTAATTATATCTTTTTACTACCACTGCAAATACTCGCACTATCTAAGAAAATTAATACTATTCAGATACAAGAAGCTAGACAGAGAATTTACAAATTATCTAATTACAATATTCATACTTTCCTCTGCATCCATAATACTCTAAAAGTGAATACTATTCAGATACAAGATAGAGAGAAACATTTACAATTGCTCTAATTATATTACTAATACTAATTAAAACTGCTAATACAATTATACAAATGCTTTATACAATCAATACTTTCGCTATCCCTCTTCCCCGCTATGAATTAATCTCTGTAAATCATTCAGGATTTATTCTCAACTCAAAGAATGGACCTTTGTCACGGTTGTTATTGACCACACACCTCATAAGAGCTAATTAGAGTCATCATTAGCGGCCACTTTGCAGTGCTGTGAAATTGTTTAGAGAATGTTACAGATTTCATGCTCCATTAAATGAATCACTCCAAGCACAATTTCAATAGCTGCAATGGAAAAAAGATCAGTTGGAATCTAATTAAATTAAAATTCAAAAACTCCATTGTATATCTACCCAAGTAGCGAGATGAGCTGCCTACGCAGCAAACAGTTCCAAATGATGATGATGATGATGGGGGGGTAGAGAGCTCCCTGCTCAGTGATTGCTAATAGATTGGGCTCGAAATTGGGAATCGGCATCGGTTGCTTAGAAGCGTGACGATTTCCATTTGATGTTGAGCCGTGTCTGGAGAGTGTCAAATCAACATCATTATTCATTATCAAATAAATTATTGGGTTTGCGGTCGATGTCGATGCCGAATCACAGTTGGTGGAACACAACAATATTGGGATATACGTATATAATTGAACTTTTCATAAGTGGTTCGTACTGTGAAGGGGTTTAATATGCTTTAACAAAGCAATCAATATCGCAGGCATAATTAAATAAAACTAATGATGCCACTGACAGTCTACGCATTGCTAATGTATTAGAGCTAAGTTTATGCTTTCTTATCGCTGAACTGAATAAGTATATCGCACACATTACCAAGCCAAACTTATATTTCTGGTTAACAGATGTAAAGTGATGCTATGTGTGCTGCTCCTTGAGTTCAAAGTTCGTCACACACACACACACGCTCGAGCGCACTCATGCACTTTCTGCTTGTTTTAGACAGGTTTTTATGTAGCGTAACTAAATGTTAATTTATAGCCAAATGCTCAACTTTCTCCGTTGGCCTTAAGGCCTTAAGAATTAAAAACAAATTAACACGCTTCCAAAAAATTTCGAGTATCTTCGTGGGTGCGTCAGTTCCTCTGTTTGCACGCGTGTGTGTGTGCGTGCGTGCGTGCGTGCGTATGTGTGTGTGTGTGTAGCCAAGTGAATTTTACAGCGCCATCAATGGCCAACTCGGAGTCTTTTATCTAATTGAGTTTATATTCTTTTGGCTTCGCATCGGCTGGTTTGTCTTAATGTTAATGCGCTCGTAAAACATGCGCAAAAATTGAAAGCAATAAAACGCCGTCGGGCAAACATTGAAAATTAAAATAAACACATTAAACGAGATGAGTTGCAGGCGATAACAGGTCTAGGCTGCCAAAATACACACATGCATTGCCCCAGCCGCCAGCTGATCCGCGACACAATAAATCAAACGAAGCGTATAGCTTGTTTTATACTTGAGCTTATAATTTACATGTTATATTACATATGCACAAGTCCTGTAATGAACAAATTTTAATGGCTTTGGCGTGAAAATTGTGTTGAAACTTTTTATAAGTTTAGTTTTAAATATTAATTAAAGCTGTGCATCGATAGCAGTTTGTACATGTTAATAACATTTTCGATAGTTAAGCTTACAGCAAGTATCGATTTACTCGTTCGCTGCCAATAAGAATTTCGTCGTGTACAAGATTTGACAGTCACAGCGAAACGTGGACAAGTTCGCGAAAATTTTCTTTTCATAGTGAAGTGTTAAGTGCCGAATTCCAATTGTGAAATATGCTAAAAATAAGCCAAAGTGCGTCTAACAAAACAGTTTACAATTTAAAGAAACATTTTCTGAACTCACCAGACGCCAACAAGTCGCATTCCATAACAGTGCACGTGAGTATTTGATGCATTTTAACCTTGCCATTATACTGATTCGACAAAACTGTTCGAGCGTCAAGAAAACATATGAAACTGCAAGAATTATGTAATATCAAGAAACACTTAGCTGTAAATGAAAAATGATATGCATGTTGACAAGAGGACACGCAGCCACGGCCGGAAAACTAACACACATATGAGCAGGCCATAAATTAGCCCGCATGCAGGCATCAGGTGGCTACGCAATGATTGCAGGACAGCAAACAGACAGACAGATGGGCCAGGGGTTGGAGGATTTGTGCACCCCCTCCCCCCCCCTGGGTCGAGTAGTTTTCGCTTGGGTAGGTGGTAGAACAAAAAATGCGTACGCTGCCGCTCCACACCAACAAGCATGGCCGTAGCGGGGGCGACGGCAACGCGGCAGTTGCTGTCAAGTCATAAAACAAAGTGCTGTTGTGTCTACAAATGATTTGGCTTATTCGTGCAGAACAAATCGTACGTCATTTGTTGGGCCACTAAAAAGTTAAAACGCTTCCCAACTCTGCCTCCTCGCTCCTAGCACATATCTATCTGTGAACAATTGCGCAATTAATGTTGCTGCACAGCGAGAATTATGTGCGTGACAGCCCACAGACAAGACGACGTCACTGATAGAGCCATAAAAGGTTGGCTTCAATAACCAATTCTCTGGCTTCCGTGCCATTTTACGGCTTTACACATGTGCCATATTGCTGCCCCCACCCCCCCTGCCCCCCAACTTTTGGGTCATGCCTGTTTATGAGCCGCACAGACAGCGCCTAAGTCGCTGCTGTCGTCATTTTCTGCTCCCTCCTCGCAGCAGTCGTCATCGCTTTGCCAAATGAAATCATAAATTTATAATTAATTTGCATATGCATTTCTTCGCTTTTCACGAATTTACCATGCCAAATTGGCATCATGGCTCAATTTTAATGGGCCTTCGCATACAGCTATTCAAATTAATTTACGAGCTCAAAACTAATGAGCGCTTTTTGTAGGCATAATGTGTGGCTCCCTGTTTGTCTCTAATATCATTAAAATTGTTGCATCAATTTACAGAATTTATGTGCATTTTATATTCATTTTAAGTGTGCTCCAAAATAGTTTTCATAAATATTTTAAATCGCTGTGAGTAGATGCCAATAAAATATGTTGGTATGTATTGCATTTATATACTCGCATGTTTTGTCACAAAGTGAAATCTTTTTGATCGCAGGAGTCGCAGATACATAGACAGGCTGCTGTCATAAACAAAGGACATTCGTCGCTTGTTTGGCCAAACGTCAACAACAAAACGCGTCGACGGCGCAGCTCAAACTCAGGCTCAAGCACTTTTATTGTTATTCATTAATTTTAATATTTGCACAACCTGCGTGCAATTTTGGAGCGGAATTGAATTGAATTTCGAGTGGCCAACGAGGAGAGAGGCAGAGAGGAGGAGGAGAGAGCAGCAGCTAAACAGCTACTAAAATGCTACGTCTGGGCCGCACGATAAAGCCAGAAGCCAATGAAGCTAAGTGCGGTTATGAACCCTTTTCGCATTTGACTGAAACAACAAAAGGGCCAACAATGGGTGGCAAATGGAATTGGAGTTGCACAAGGCAATGGAAACGGCGCTGAAGCTGGTTGGCATTTACCTAATGGAGGTGGCAAGCTTTAAGAATTTAAGCGGCAGTTCAATAAACCCGCAGGCCAAACAATGGCCATGGCCAGGACTATGCAATTGTTCAATTGATGCGCGACAAACATGCAAAGTGCTTAAACAACAAAGGAACTACAATGTGCGGCAATTAAAATGCATAAAAACAAAATTATTTTATTATTAGAAGTAATGCTAAATAACGACAATTGTCGCTACAAATGCAACTGCAACCCTCCAGCGCTGCTGCCCGCATGTCGTGTCCAAAATGGGACATATTTTGATCCGGAATAGATGCGTATATACGCAGGGATATCCCGGTACAGTTGTGCCACCTGAACGCAGGCCTCAACAGTGCACACAGTCTCTTGTCAGCGAGTACCTGTATCAATGTCAGGCACTGAAACGACGTCCTCGCCAACCAATACCCAAAATCCAGCAGCCCAACATATGTGCCTGCTCTCGGAGGGGGCGGTTAACTAATGTGTGTCTGTTCGTCCGGCCGTCCGTCTGTCTGTCTTGCGCGCAGCCATGTAATTTGTTATCCAACAATTTATAATTGCATCAAAATACACACGCACCACATGCCAAGCTGAGGCTAAGCTGAGATGACTATTTCGAAAAATTATTATGAAAGCAAACATGCTTCTATTTTCTGGGACGATTCTCGACTTGTGCCGGCAATGGGCAGCCCTCTCACAGGCCTCCCCCCCTTCTTGCAACTGTCCAATACAATTTTATGCTATGTTTAACATTTTGTACATTTTTCGGTTCGCCCGTGTTGTGGTTGCCCTTGTTGTTGGTCTTGTTATTTCTGCTGGTTCTAATTTAATTTTGGACCGACTTGTTGGTGTTGGTCTTCACTTTTAGTTGATTTATGAATTTTTAAATCAATTTGACAACTAGCTCGCAAGTCAAAGTGCACATTAGGAATAAAAGTTGTTGGAGGTGTGCTGGACATAAAATTTTTCGATTTTAAGAGTTATCAAGCCAAAGACAATTTTTAAATATTATTTTGAACATTTCTAAGCTTATAACTTTCCCATGGTCAGCTCTCTTAAAAAAATTGGCAAAAAATTGTGCTGCAACTGTTTCTGTTTGTTATGCTTTTTGACGTTTACACGTTTTGACAGGCATTAAAAATCTATTTAAAATGCACCCCTAGCTTTTGTTTAGTTTTTTTAATTTCTGCTCAATGACGAATCCCCAAAATAACAAACACAAAACAATTCAGTTAACTCTGGAACTTAGGCGCTACTTAAAAATTTGAAATCAAATTGAAAAGCGAGCATCAAATAATTTCGAGGCGTGACGAAACATGTCGAAATGTACAACTTGGTAGCCGCCGCCTCTGATCGACAGCAACTTGTGCGGAAACCCGCGGCCGGGACGCGTGTGTCTCTCTGGCTGGTGTACACGTTTTTCTACTCGCTGTGCTGGCGGCTGCCGTTTTTTTTATTTTTTTTATTTTTGTGTTTGACGTATTACTCAATGAACGTGGAGTGGGGGGTGAGTGGGTGTGGGAGCAACATGCCTTTGGCTATGCCTGCCACAACTAGCCCACCCTCCGGCTCACACGGCGACGTCATCAATCTAAAAAATGTTGAAAAATCTCAGTGGCTGTTGCAGTGGCATGAGACACGGGATGAACCAGCGACGGCGGCCGCCTGACAGGCTGCATAGCTGGTAGTTGGTATTTTAAAATGCATGTTAAATGTCCATGCCTTTCGCTTTTCAACTGGATTTTGATAGAGTGGCGGCGCTTCGAAGCATTTCATGGGAAAGTGTTATAATTCAAATGATTCGGGCATTCATTGTAATTGATTTTTATACGTTGGACCTACACCCATGCAGCTTAAATTTATTTTTCATCGTCGATAAATCCCAAAGTTATTTTACTAATATGTTGATGAGGCTGAGATTGAGGGAACCTGCGGAGGGCGATATGCATACCGCTTAGCAGCAAGCAGTAAGTAAATGAATCATTTTAATCATTCAATTTAATCAAATCTACTCTATTTTAGATTATCAATGGAAATCAAGTCAACAATGGAAATGGGACCCTACTCTTCCAGTCGTTGGCTCCTTTTACTTCGCCCAGCAAAACTAATTACAAAACAGCACCACAAAGCAAGGATTCCGTTTCGCCAAAATGATTTTGCTAGAACCAAAAACTGAATCCAGCAGTCAACAGCCAGGAGTAAATGCTGCTTTTGTCAACCGGGAAAAGGCAAAGGCAACTGCCAAACCAACAAAACCACTCGACATGTCAACTGAAAATAGAAATGGAGACGCAAATTTACGGAGTCAGAGACTGGGTCCAACTTTTTGGCATTGCTCCTGGAGTGACATGAAAAGGACATGTCACACCGTATGCGCACATTAAGTGTAGCCACAATTTATCAGGCTGCATAAATCTAAATAGAGTCTGGGAGAGTTGGCAGTCGCCTGAATTTGACTTCGGCATGGGCGCATCAAAAAGTCAAAAAGCTAATTTGCATTTAAAAGGACAGCAAAGGCATCGGAACGGACCAACAATGATGCTGACGTAGCCGCCATCGCAACCAACCATCGCCTAGCCATGCATGCAAAATATTTTAAGCAATATTTTCAATTTAATAAGCCAAGATAAATGAAGGGCAACAGCAGAGAAGTGGACCACAGGCGGGAAAAGAGCAAAAATATATATATATATATATATTTTGCAATGTAGATTTAAGCACACTCTGACTTGGCATATGTGTCCCGTGCTCATGTGCTTATTTGCATAGTTTGGTAAGCTTGGCTATTTTTGTCAATATGCCATGCACTTCATCAAACGAGATGCTTTGTGCTCTGTGCTCGTTCGATAAGAGGTCGTTTGTGCTGTTGTTCAGTCAACTCTTTGGTGGCTTATACCAAAAATGAGATAAGTTAAATTACTTTGCATATTTAGACACACTTTATGCGACATACTTCAAATTGAATTTGCTCAGATGAAATAATATGCCGCCCGGGGAATTCATAATATTATCCAACTAAGTAAAGGCAATCTCTGTTTTGATCTAAATCAAAAAAAAAAAAATGAGATTCCGAGTGCTCGTGTATTCCTGCCACTCAAATCACAGCTGAATGACTGTGCATAGCCTGGTCAGTGAAATTAGCCCATAATCAAATAAGTTAACGAGCAGTAACCAACTGACAATTGATGCATATAATTGCACTTGCCAGCAAATTCAACAATTGGCAACAAATTTTCAAACCTAATTACGTTACAAGACATGCGACGAGTTTATTTGTTTGCTGGCGTTGTCAAATTACAATCTCAGTATTGCAGGAGTAGTCAAGAGTTGGAATGAGTAGGGCCTCAAGTCCTAGCCAGGCTTGCGGTCGCAACTGAAATGCAATGGTGCGTGCCACAAATGGCAGCCAATAGAGCAGAAAGCACAACTCAAGTGGCCACAGGACACAGTCCATAAGAAAATCGCTGAGGCGTAAACTAATTTTGTAGGCGTCGCCCAAGACAGACACTCAGCCGGCCGGGCAGGACCTTTACAGCGTCAGGGAGCAGGCAATTTGATTTTTCAATCGCTGCTAATTAGCATTGAGGCCAAAACCATTGACAATTTGTCAACCATGGTCAGCAATTCCGTCCGTTTGCAGTTGCATAATAACTGTGATAATCACACCGATGACAACGATAATTTGCACACTCGTGGCCAGTTACTGTGATTTGGTCAGTAAATTATTCATGAATGGTGCCGGCTCTACTCTACTATATATAAACACGTTCCCAATATTGCTTTAAGGTTGAAAAGCAACATTTTAGGGTTAAACTCTGCCAGCCAAGTTGGCAGACTAAAAGCCTATTAACATTAACGAGTTTCTCGGCTTTTTGCCACCGCACCTCCTGCTGTCAACTTTTGATACTTTTGTAGAGGGTACTTTACTTTTGTCTTGAAATGTGTAACGCAGTTGATATTATCCAGTTCATAGATTCATCGGACTATAATTTCATATAGATTAACAGGAAGAATTGGCAAATTAGTTTTACACAATTCTCCTGAAATATCTGCACATCCATTAGCAATGTATCCACAGTGTACTACAACTTCGGTGTCACGAAGGTAGCCGTTTTTCTTTTCTTTCTCTGCACTTCTTTTTGCTCAGTGCTTTGGCTTAGCTTCTTCCTGCTCTCCGCCTGTTGCCTGCAACGCTGCAAATGACAGCTGTCAGTGGCATTTCACAATCAGCTGCCAGAAGTAAATGCTGTCAAACTGACAGCCTGTTGCTTGACTTTGCTTTAGCCTGCGGCAACTCTTTTTCAACTGAGCATCGATTTTGCAATCTTTCGGTACTATATCTATGCTGACATCTTTGTCGAATCAGGTGGAAGGGTATATGTATATTTTTCACACTTTCCCATGCATAAATGCCTATACTCGTCGTTTATGCAGCGCGTTGAATTGTAAAGTCTTTTTGTCTTTTATTGGCACAATGCCATGCTTTTGCAGCTCTAATTTCTGCTCCCACTTTTATGTGGGGTCGGTCCCCCATGAAACAGAATGCCAAGTGCGAATGCAACAAATGTCATTAAAAACGTGACATAAAAAAATATTTTATACTTGCATCTATTGCAGAACTTAGTTCTCTTCATGTGCATGCATTCAATATACCCTGTTACCATAAAGTGGGTCAAAAGGGGTGTTTTGGCTTTGGGTAAATATGGGTAATAGACATGAATTAAGTTATTTATATGTAGCTACAAATGCTTGGCCATGTCAGTTCGCAATCCATGAGAAAGTGTTAGTATAAAAATGTATTATCTCCTTATAGGATATATCCTAGGCGAGCACTCATCATTTAAAGCATTCGTGTGTAATGTATTTGGTTTCCTTCTGCACATTTTATGCAGCAGCTTCGCGAATATAAAATAAAAGCGCAAATGGTATTTCACATGCGTTTTAAGGTTGAGGTTTCGAGCTGAGGTTGAATGACCTAGGACAATAGATTTATGCTTGGGGTAGTTACAGCTGCCCGCTGTGCTGATTAAGGGCGTTTGCTTCTTAAAGAAGGGTTATTACGACACAGCCCTTTTGTTCGGTCTGTGGCCCATTTCGATTGCCTTGCATAAGTATTGTGCTTCATTAAAGACGATTTGGCTCCTGAGCTTAACTGTACACCCAAACGCAATGCAATGCCAATTTCCGAGCAATTTTCAAGCAATTTGACGTGCCAAACTGGTCGCCCTAATGAGACCAGATATTACTCGCAACTCGTATCATAACAAATTTCCCACGTAACAATGCCCCAAAGTGAAATACCGAACGCACGGTGCCAGGCCAAATGATTGGCACAAGCTCAAGACGACGCCTGCTCATTGCCAGACGGCATCAACAGCCAGAGTCGACATCGTCTTCATCGTCTTTGGGTATTCCCGAAAGCAACAGCAGCACATTAAGTCGACTGCAATTTGACTTGGGTTCTACATGCATTGCAGTTGGCTTTTCTGGCTGCATATTAAATATAACACAAAATGCATATTAAATGGCATAAGCCACGTAAACTGCTAATGCCAAGACTCAAACCCAATTCCAGTCTCCAGTTTAAGTTTCGGTTTTAGTCAGGTGCTGCAGGGCAAACAAGTAGATATATAGTAGCTTCCACGTATACTCTACGAATGCCAATTCCCAGCAGCTTAGCTGTAAAACCTTTAAGACTTGACGGAAACGCTGTGTGTTGTAAAATTTTATAAGTTTACCATTTTGGGTTGCTTTTATTTTGTGGCGGGCTAAAGAGCTTTTTTGCCTGCGCTGCTTCACTTGGCAATGGCAAGGTTTTGTCCTTAAATGATGCAGGTTTGAAAATTTGGCAATACTTGATATTAGTTTTAATCTAGGTTCGTATGCAATATACTATATTTTTAACCAGAAACCACTCTAATCGACTAGATCCTAGTCCTTACTTCAGTTGATCAACTTCTTGTTAATCCTTCTGCTTGAAGCTTTACAAATTTACCTTCCAGCTTCGCGATTAAACATAAACAAATTTCCTTACCCCCATTCGTAGCCTTTATTCGCTGGCTCAACTCCTTTGAAATAAAATCCACACCGTCTAATTAAACAAACTCCAAAAGTCGACGTGTAACCACCATAAATGAACATTAACTTGAAAATCATAAAAAGGAGTAAATGAAAAACTCTTGCGCCTCGACTCCTTCGCATCGTCATCGTCGTCTTTATACATAAACAAAACTCAAACTCAAATTTCATAGCATAATAAATGGCGCGCACTACCGATGCAAAAGTTGCCCCTCCCGCTCCTTATCCCTCTTTCTGCTCTTGTTCTCGTCCTGGAGTGATGAAGTAATGAAAGTGTGCGCGTTGGCGAAAGAAAAATTACAATTCACGAGCGCAGCGCAGTTATGAACTTTTTGACGTGCTAAATAATGCACAGGAAAGTGCCTGCTGGGTGCTGCTGGCCAGGGGCCAGGGGCCAGGGGGTTCAGGATTCGGGTGCAGGAGCGTATGGCACTTCTTCATTAACTCTGGCGGACGCCTGATGATGATGAATTTTATATAAAATGCTTAAATACCTGCAATTTAACTTTTGTCCGTGCCCCTTTACCCCTGTCCAGACAAAAAACATTTCAATATGCAACAGCGCGTGTTTCTTTTAATTTAAATTGACTTCACTTGGACTCCCAGCGGACTTTAAGCGACAGAAACTAATCAAAAAGCTATAAAAAAGTTTTTTTCCCAGAGCATTTTGGTTTTAGTGACTGGAATAGAACAGAACTCTTAGGGGATATGCTTTGGTTTTATAATCGAAATTGATAGTCTGTTATTATTTTTTATAGCGGCGATTCTGATTTTCTGCATGATATAGTTTATACTTAAACTCCTAATCTCTATCTAATTTTAGATTTACGGTGGAATAGCTGAAATGAGATGCATGTGGAAATCTTAGTTTAAGAACGGCGAATAAGGAGCGATTAAAATTAATCCAATTCTTCTAAGCAAATCTGCAAATCTGTGAGTGGTGATTACAAAATTTCAAAAGGATGGAGAGACAATTTTCTTACAATTAAAAAAAAAACTTCTGCTTCGCACATCTGCTTTGAATGTGATAGGAGAACAACGGATCATTAAAGGTCGAGGAGACCCACTGCTGTTATGCTAAAAGGATATTAAACAATTTTCGAAATTTTTCGTAAAAAGTGAGTGGGTACCAGAGGATCCCTAACGAAACGGCTAAGTAAAGTCTATGGAATCTCTAAAGGAACAGAAGAAACACAAACTATATCGTATCTTAAAATAAATTAACTTATTAGGCGCTAAACTGCTTTCAAAGTTAGTGGAGACCAGCGGAATTCTAAACGACGAGGAGATACCAATTGCATCCTGTAAGGAGAGCGGCTCATCTCTAGAGAACAAGGCGACACACCGATTATATGGTAAAGTTACTTTACAATCATTTAAATGTTTCTTCTTAAAATGCATCAATTTATTCAATGCAGATAGGAAACGAAAGTGATTGGAAACCAGAGAAACTCTAAACGACCGAGCGATTTGCATAATCAGCCTTTTGTCATCTATATATGTACATATACTCCAAGAGAATGTCCATGTAAGTTGCCATCCTGTCTCAATCTCATGTGCATGCTATCATATTGCCCTTTGTTAATTACGCTGGATGCATTCCAAATGGACGTCAAATACGTATCTATATGTTTAAGCTAGCAACAGTGGTTGGCTCTCAGTGCACTTAGCCAGACTGTCATTCCGACTGCATACACATAATTAATTAACGGCTGACAGCGCTACCAAACAGATCCCATGTCCGTATACCCCAGTCTTTCGCTTGCTCTACGCCCTTTAACTAACAGAAATGTCAAAAATGCAAGTGACAAGTGTGAAAAAAGGACCAGCACAAGAAGAAAAACGACACACGGCCAGGCGAAAGAAAAACAAAAGCCATGCCAGGAGACAAACACACACACACATGAGACAGCTGGCCTTGGGTTTGGGTTTATTTGGGTTGCTGGGTTGGTTGAGAGCGTTTGTGGGTGTGTTGTCTGCTTGAAGACGTCGCGCATTCGTGCGCTGCAAAATAAATTGAAATTTTAAAATGTATGAAATTAATTTTTGGCGCACGCTGCGAGTCGCTTCAACGCTTCCAGCGCCATCGCCTCGTCATGCTGATGATATCACATGATTATTTATCTTTTACGCACACTTAGACAGCAGTCGACACATATGCAAAACGGCAGCAAGGATGTGCGTGCCTTGGTACTCTGGTCTTCGTCCTGGGCCTGACACTTGCCAACACTTTGTCAACTTTTTAGTATGTTGTCAGCTTTTTTTTGTCTTAGACCCAACGCGTTTTGTCTTTTAAAGCCATTTGTCAAACACTTTACATGACGTCATCTGCAAACGATGGCTGCCACTGTTGCTAAATATATCCTTAATAAGAAGGGTATCTTAGGATATGTCGAGTACGTGTACATTTTCTCTTTGAGTATCGGTCAGCAGATATCCCAACATGAAGGCCCAGCTCAAATACAAAATTATAATACCCTGCTTGTCGTAGAGTTTTGCCATCTACTCCTTATCTTAATACAGGGTATAAATGATTCGAGGTGTTGACAGGCTATCGAACTCTTGTTAGCTTACGCTTGTTATCTGGCCCCAAAGTATCTTGTCTGTTGTGCAAAATTTACATATAGATTAGCAAAAGGATTGCAAGTCCGTGTGCCAGCAGCAGGCCACAATATGGTAGAATGAGTGACACTTGATGGGCCTCTGGATGCACTTTGGAAAATGGCTAACCATCATCGAATATGAGTTTCTCTATGTGCAATGGCATGGGCATGGGCATGGGCATGGGCATGGTCGTGGGCATGATGTCTGCAATGCATAAGTGGAAATCATTAAGTGCCGAGCGCATCTTGTAAACTGATGCGTAATCCTCTCGGCCCAACCCTTGGTCAATTGTTTTCCGTTCGGACAGGCTGGTGCGCATTGTTGCCATTTCCGTTGGTTCTCCGGGCCAGGTCGTCCTGCTACTCGTCCTGTTGCTGGCCTCTTCATTGTGAACGCGTAAATCCCCTGACAACACTTTGCCTTCCACGTTATACAAAGAAAATTTTTGCAAAAAGCAGTCGAACAATCCTTGAACAATGCATGAAATAATTGCACAGCACAGTGAAAGTGTGTGTTTGTATATGTGTATCTGTGAGCGTGTGTTGTTGTTGTTGTTGTTGTTGCTGGAAAGTTGTGGTCCTTATAGAGCTGGGCACACAATGAACTTGTTGTTACTGACTGTGAGCTGAACTGGCATTGGCTGATGGGCATTAAAACGCGGATGATGAGGCTTAAGTAGTTACACACAGCGGCACAATTGGGACTCTTTAGGTCTCGAGCCGAGGGGCTCAAGTGTTGCGTAGCATATGTGGAGTAAGGGATATTGCATGAACATAGCTTGGCTCTGTTGGGGTAAAGTTGTAAGTAAAGAACATTTCTTGATATTGCAAATTATAAACCATGCTTCATGGTGTCCATCAATAAACGCAATGTTCATTGTGGCAACAGCAAATTGAAAGCTGATGAATACGCATATACACATCTGTCTCAAAATCAATTCACTAGGCAACCAGAGAGATAATAAATGTAAAGCTTTAATTTCATGAAATATGTATAGCACACATAACATGTGGTTTTTCTATATGCTGAGTTATTTAAATAGTAGAAAAACTTTTAAATCGCTTATAAATCAAATTTAAGAAGCACAATTCCCAGCTCTTCTGTTTTGTTAGGATCTCTATGAGAAAACTTAGCTAAGGCATCATAAGCTGACTAATTATTTCTTGCATATATATTCTTTAAGGCACTTTTTTATAAAAGCAATTATAATTATTCAATATATTCCGTGCGGCTTCTATTACTTTCTGAGCACATCTCGTTTAAGATCTGGTCTCGTTAACAGATTTCTCTCCTTGCTTGAATCGACTAAGACTTTCATTAAAACTCTTCAAATTTCGAAATGCCAATGAATATTCAATGCGAAATATCTACTTCTCACCTTAACACCAAAACCTCTGACTCCAACCACTGTGCAAAGCACATTAAGAGCAACAAATGCAATATGAAACAGACAGAGCAATAACAAAAGCAACATAACCAACCAACAGAAGACAGCATCATTAACATAAAATTTTATGTTTATGGCAATGATGAAAAGTCTATACAAATGCGGCAACGGCTGTCCAAAATAAATAATTACCATAAACAGCAGCCGGGCGGTGGGAGTGGTGGGGCCAGAAGAATCCCTAGCAGGCCGAGTCGGGAGTGGAGAAGTTCATGTCGGCAGCCGCAACATTTTGTGTGACAATCAGGCTCGAACCGTGTCCCTGTGCCAGCACAGGATTGAGTATTCAACTGTGGACCTGAGAGGGTAGTCAATGCCATTGGCATTTATCAATTGCCTGAGCAACGCCGACCACCGGTTCGTAGATAGGCTCGTGGGCAGTGTGGGTGGCGCGTGTTGTTTTAACATTGGCATTCTTGTAATTACGTTTATACTCTTCATTCCGCTGTTAATTCAAATTTACGTTAATGGAAAATCATTACGCACAAATGTGTAAAGTGCACTTTTGGATTTCATTGCCGTCGTGTGTGGCAGCTTTTCATATGCTGAGCGCACTTTTATTGCATTTTCCCTGGCGCTACGCAAATAACTGCCAACTTGGCTGCTGCAAATTTTTAATGAGCTTCAAGTGCATTTAACAGCTGCGGCAGCTGCTTATTGCTGATAAGCAGCGTTGCAAGTTGCAAGTTGCAAGCGGCAGTCAGCTAGTTTGGGCGCAGATTAAACTCTTCAGTTAATGTGGAGTTGCAGCAGGTGGGATATATTGATATGGTAAATTGTGCAGAAGAAATTATAGCTGATGAATAAATAATGAATGCATCTTTAAAGCCAAAAGCTGACTTTAAGACATTCTCCCATTTGCAGGCATAACCTTTTTGCCTTTGTACACACAACTCTCTGCACATTTAATCAATACCCAACGTCCTTGACAGCTTTGTTATAGCCAGCATAAAAAGCACGTGCTATCAACTGTGTCAAAATCAAATGCTTAGAGCCGCCCACGCAGCAACCCAGTAGGGAGCGCGCCCTAAACGATTTTCACTGTCAAGGCCGCACGCACAAAAAGGAAAATTGAAGGGACGCTCGTTGCCGGCCGGCGTGTCCTTGAAACAAATTCAGCAAAGCTTTGGAGAAGGCAAATTTGCTATGTGCCATTTACCACACAAATGGCAGCCACTTAGCCTTGGCACTGACATTGAAACTTGGAGCGCCCCTAGCAACAAGCAACAAGCGGCAAAAAGCTCGTTTGGCATTTTTATATATACGATTTTTTTGTGCCGAGGGTATTGTTGATTTGTTGTGCAGTTTGCAAGGCAGTTGCAATCAGATATGCAAATACTATATATAAATATCTTTCCGATCATAAAGAAAAGCAAAATGGATAATATGTTATCAAGTGAGTTACAATTCATAAATTGTTGGTCGGTTCGAAACTAAATTATATCAAACGAAAATAAGTTCTGAATATGTGAGCTCTAAGCTATTTGACAAGACTTGCAACAATCTATATCCTGTTAGAAGTTTTTAAGATATACTTAAAATCAGACATTTTTAAAATATACTTTAACAAGTGTATTAAATCTTCGGCATACGCTGACAATATTTCCTTCCTCTTTTTAAATTGTAACAAGTCGAAATGCCATTTGTTTTAGTGTGTGGACTGCAAACTAGCAGGAAGTGGTTTATCATAATGGATGAGCCAACACTCTGTAACATGGGGGACATCAAGGCCAGCGGAAAATGTTTGCTGGAGCCGGAACAGTTTGTTTCAAGGCTAAACTCGGATTCCCGTTGGTTTGAATGGGTGTGTATTAAGCGGGCCAAGTTGAAGGTTTGGGAGCTCCAAGCTTAAATGGTAAGAGTAACGAGTTGAAAAAACGTTGAAATGGGTGTGAAGTTGAAGAAGGTTGAATGGGATCTCCCTAAACTTTCATGTTAAGCATTTAACAAGGCGAGTTGAGGGACGTCTTAGCTAAGTTAGGGTTTACTAAAATCAATAGGATGAAATAGGGTATTTATAAGAACTTAAATACTTGCATGACATCATTTTTTGTTTAATAATAAATTATTTTGAGTACAACATAGATTTTTCCATATTCATAAGCCAAAGAGGAAATTGCAAGCAACTAACAATTGTTGATTCACAAGCATAGAAATTACTCACAAGCATTCGAAATCAATTCGAACTTCGAATATATTCCCCTCATTTGAGTGCTTGCCCTGACAAGCCCGTAGAGCACCATGTGAAAGATGCCCCTTATTCGAAAATCGCGCTAACCACCCTCCCTTTGACGTTACTTTACGTCTAACGTAAGCGAACGTAACGTAATACGCTCTGTCGCAAGAGAGCTGCTTTCTGTTTGCTCGCTCTCGCGTTCTCTCTGGCTTATTCTCTCGCGAAAGGTAACAGAGCCAAAGCCCAGCCGTGACTGTGACTTTTTTGGGGTGGCAATCGAACTGCGTCCGGCACCGTCAGAGTTTGTGGTGTGAGTGGCTGTGGTTGGTGGTTCAATTGGTTGGTTGTTGGCATAAACAAAGCACACACACTCCATCCACACATCGCTGACTGTGTGTGTCTGTGTGCACGGGGGGGTGACATTTGCCCGAGCGAGCGCCGTGTTGCTTCCTAGGAAGCACGAGAGCCGCTGTCGCCGTCGCCGTCGTCGTCGTCGTCGTTGCTGCCCGGCGTAGCTATTTTATAAAAGTGACTGCGGCAAGGATATTTACAGTCAGTCCACGCAGAACCTTGGAAAAGGCAGCAACAGACGCAAAAGCAGCTCGTATACGGCATATTGTGTTAACGTATTTTCCATGCACGTAAAAACCAAAAGCTAAAATCGCAAAGTTTCCGTTTTGGCGCCAAATCAGAAATGTTTTGGTGAAAACTGACAGAAGTGTTAATTTTCTGAAGACTTCAATTAAAGTGCTTTGCAAATAGACAACAAGTGCAATAAGTGAGATTTTTCAGTTTTTTGATAAATCAAAAAAAAAAAAAAAAAAAACAAGACAATGGCAATTGCTTACTTTATACCCGATCAGGCGCAACTGTTGGCCAGAAGCAGGCAACAAAGTGCGCAACAAGCTGCAGGCAGCGTCGGCTCCCGTCCAGCGAATCCCAGGCAGAACGAGTCCCGACAACAGCAGCAGCATCGGCAGCAACAACAACAACAACGACAACGACAACATCGCGCCGGCAATACACAATTTCGCGCCAACATATCGGTGCCGCTGGGACGCGAACAGGGTGCCATGTCCATGTCGGAGTTCGGCTGCTGGGAGCTGTTGGCCCAAATCTTTTGCTATGCCTTGCGCCTCTACAGCTACAATCCCGCACAGCGCAGGCCGACGGTCATTCAAATCTCGTTTGAGATCAGCAGCAACACAAGCGATGCAGATGCAAATATAGAAGATGCAGATGGAGTTGGAGATGTGACTGATGCGACTGCGAAGCGACGGGAGTAGATATTTGATAAGGAGACGCTAAGACTACACACAACTGACTATTGTACAGTTATTTTGGTGGCAGCTCAATCAAAGCGCATTGTGATTTTTTGGGATTATGGAGTTTGAAGATGGTTGAGAGGAGTTTGTAAAGTTGAAAGTGCTAACGAAATGTATTTTATATTTCTGTATTTAAACGATTTTTAAGAAAATTCAAAATTTGTCATCGATTTGCTGAAAGTGATATAATATTTTATTGGTACTTTTTGGTGTCAAATTTTTGTAGTAAACTCTGCCAGAAGGCAAGGCCGAGAGAGATAGAAAGAGAGAGAGAGGAATAGCTGAGCAGTGAGCATTTTGTAAGCCTAAGTTTCAGATGTAAAAGGTTTCGGGTTGTAAAAGTTGGTTCAAATAGGCGTAGCTGCAGGACTCGTTCATTTACAAATTTTCATTTAAAACCAAAAACCTAAAATATAGCCATTTAACTAATTAGAATCTGTGTCTACAACTAAACAGTCAAAACAACACTAAACACTATCATATATACAAAAAAGTACATATGCCACACATATTACTAAGTATATGCAACTATGTATGTCAAATTTTAGCATTTCTACTAGCGTAAAATATAAATGTACCCCACATAAAAGTCAAATACTAAATTATGATATTCTTACTGAACCAACAAAATGTAACAAATGAAATACAACAAAGACAACAACTACATTGTACAAAATAGTTTCTAAGCAGACAATTTTTATATATACAAAGAATAACAAATGAAAACGAAAAAAAGAAAAAAAACAGAAAATGGGTGTCAATAAACTGCAACAAATTACGAAAAAAACAAAATCCGCCGAACCGCAAAAAAAAAACTCAACAGTAAAACAAAGTAAAAAACTCACGAAAGCAAAAAAAAAATAAATAAATAAAATACAAATTTCATAATTTAAGCAATTTTGATACAATTACAAGAAACAAAATCTTAAGCATATTTTACGATTATTATTATTGACTTTAGCAAAATTACAAACGATATTATTTCTGTTTTTTTTTTTTTGGGCATTTTGTGTACGCAGCAAAAAAAATTGTAATCAAATGTAAAAAGCTTGCAACAAATTTCGTAAGCAAATTACACAACTTTTTTATAAGACATTCAAAAATAAATACAATTTTATAAAAAAAAAACCAATTTAACCGAAACAAAATTTGTTTTCAATTTAAGTTATAGAAAACATTAAATGTGTTTTTCTCTAGCTTTTCGGGATAAAAATCTTTACAGGATTTTAATTTTATTTTTGAGATGATATCAGAATTGTCTAAATTAAATGGTCTTTTATTTTATTAAAAGGTAATGATTTTTTCGACAATTCTTTATTGAAATTTATATGATATAAAACAAGTTTATTTTATTTTTCCGATAATTGTTGAATTTATTCTGTGCATTTCTTACAAGTCCGAATATCTTTCTTAACTATAGGCAATTAATTTTGGTCGTCTACAAATCGATACTGATCTAACAATAAACACTTGTGGTATCTGCTGGAACTAGTTTGTTTGGCACGTTGAGTAGGGCAGCCCGTGCAGAGCGTGCATAGCGTGTCCGTTTCCTAAACCGTAAAACTCGCTCTGCTGGGTGCCACACACATCGGGAAATAGCCCGCCGACATCATAATTGTCGCCGTGTAACGGCGATTCTGCACCATAGAAAGGACTTGATTTATGCATAGCTTCAGGCATATGTAAGTCCATAAGAGTTCCATTTGGGAAATGATTAAAATTATTGCCCCTTCCACCCGAAAATGAAAAGTCACCGCTATAACCATTCATGTTGTGGAAGGGACAATCATTTAACTGATCTGGATTCATCATTCCATGATAAGAAATCAATGAAGGGTCTGAATAAAATGTCTGTGCACTTTGATTTGTATTGTGTAGACCATCATATTCATGACCTCCCAAAGATGAAGCTATATTAGGCACTGGGTCGTAGCCAACCATTCCAGCAGTATTACGATCTATATTTAAGTTATTCGTTATATTGCCTAGATTGGTATACTGAAACTCTGGCTGATTTGGGTCACAGCAGCAAGAGTCGACTGCATAATTTTGCCTAGCTGCCTCTTTGCTAGTAGTTGGACAGTCACAGAAGTCCGATTCACAATTTCCAGTAAAAGCGTGGGATGGAGCATAGTTACAGTAGCTGAAGGCACCTTCGTTGCACTTGTCAAGATGATTCTGCTCATAGCTGGCGTTTTGTCTTCGGTCTGTGTGAATAATTTAATCAGTTTGGAAATCTTCATAAAAATCAATACAAAATTACTTACATTTATTAGTACAGAAATTGGAATGTTTGTAACTAAAACATTATAAATTCAACACATAAATTAAGAAATTTATTTTTATAATATATCCACTTACTCCACCACATTCACATCTGTGTATACACCAGTTGGTGGAAGCGCGGTATATACGGTTCCATTAGAATTTTCTTCCATGTCACCTTGCATATTGGACAACGTTCGAAGGTTCACATCCTCAGTTCTCTCCCTAGCATCCATCCCTTCGCTCTCTAGATCATTCTAGGAATTACGAAATAGATATAATAAGCCTACTTTCAAATTCAACTATTTATCAATGTTTGCTTTGATTTTTGCAAACCAATCTTTAGCTTAATATAGATATGGTTAAGGCTGTCTTAATGCCGTAGGATCATAAGTTTCCTTATTAAATGGAATGTTTAATCATGACTCACGAGCTCCGTTAGTTTCTCCTAAATATATACTATTCTATATTGTAAGATTTTATTTGAGAGTTTTTGTTTTCCATAAAAACTTTTAATGTAAAAGCTTATTATGGGACCTCTAATGGGATTTATCATGAAATCTATATGTACAAAGCACACATTTCTATTAAAGACTTAGTTTTTCTCAAGTAAAACAAATCTCACCTTTGTTTGACGTCTGAAAATGTCTTGCCCAGGCGGTGCATTAACCCTTCGCCAGCCGAGTCAACCCTATCGCCCACATGCCATAAGGGCAACCATTTACCGATGCTTATCGTCAAAACCAATATGTCACCTTGAAGGGAAAACAATTTTTTGGCACAACATATTTCTGTGGTGTCATGCCACAAGTTGCGGCAAGGGTTAAATTAAAAGGTTACGCTGCTTAAAAGCAACCGCACAAAAAAAAGAGCAAGAGCAAAGAAAAACAGAGTTAACTGGGAAATGCTCGAGTCATCAGGGTCGCGCACCCCCTAGAGCAGAGTCGTACCCCAAATGTAACATCTGTGACAAATGATCGACGCTCGCTGATAACTTGGACAGTCAAAATTTTTGTACAATAATTATGCAAACATTTCGGGTCGCTAATTTGCCGCATTATCTTAATTTAAATCGCGCAAAAGCGCACTGAACATATTTAATTGTCGTGACATGACAACAAGCGACCTGGAAATTAGGGTCCTTCGGTTGACCCGCGGCCCATTTACTATTGCCGGTTAGGGTTAAGCGCTCAGTTTTTTTTTTTTAAGTAACCTTTTCGTTTTTCGCGTGTGGCTTGATTTTTGGCAACGATAAGCAACTCGGAAATTGTAGGGTATGCAAATGTTGCCACTTTTTGTCGCGTGTTATGCTCGTGTATGGGATTGAATTTTCAGCGCCGGCAATTATGCTGGGAATGTGTGAGGCAATTAATGATAAAATATTTGTAGTTAATTGTGAAACACATGTTCGAGGCCAACTTCAAATGAACACAACAAGTAATGTGTGCTTATGCTCAGAACTTTTAGATGTTAATATTCTGCTCGAAAAAACTCTTAATGTAATTTTTAGCTAATCGAAGAGACGAAGTTGTGGTGGCTACTTGGTGGGAAAATATTTTCTACTTAGAGATATTATAGAAATAAAATCCTTCTAAGAAGAGTCAACAAATTATTTGAGTCTGGAGGATGAGCATTAGACGAAGAAGACGATAATAAATCTTAGATCACAATATAGTACATAATTATCTTGGCTTATGTACAATAAGATTATAGAATGAGTGTGTTATTAAAGAAAAATATGATATTTCAAAAGTTTAAGTAATTCCGAGTAAACGAATAAATTCATTGTCCTGTTGCGAGTGTGCATGTTAATAAGTGAAAACAATGGATTGTAATAATGGGTTTATTGCCCGTGGAAATGAGTCACAATCAGCTCCAACTAAGTCGTAGCGGAACTTCGCATGCACTTTAAGTCAAAAGCTAATTACAAGCAGGTCTATTGATTTTTTTTCTTGTTTGTTTGGAAAGTACACTAACCCAGGCACCAGGCACCAGGCACATGTACGCCCCCGAGTCACAGCAGTGACCCAGTTTCTTGACTTAAGCAAACAACGCCCCCAACGCAAATTGACGCAAAAACTGAAAGTGGAGCAAAAGTGAAACGCAATATGACCACAAACGAAGTTCTACTAGATGCTGATACTTGCAGTTAGACACATAAGTAAGTCGGAAAAGGCAAATCAAATATCAAAGGCGGAAAAACTCAACTGGCAATGAAGCTCAATGGCTTTCTGTCGAGTTGGATTTGGGTAGATTGGGCTGTCGGTAGGTGGGACCGAGTTAATTGTTTGTAGTGCTTTGAAACGAAGGCTTCTTCAGATTGCTGGATTGACATTTAGTGCTCAAACCTTATCGTTTCATTAATCTTGTGATTCATTGCCCAGGTTCAGACTATTTCCCTGCGTTTAAACGTGTGTCAACACCCACAAAACCGCAGGCGGTCCCAGAATGAAAGAGAGAAAAAAATAACAACTTTTATATGCGTTTTCTACAAAATGCATTTGTAAAAAGTCTCCAAGTGTTTGGCCAAACAAAATTAATGATTTATTTATGTCTTGCACTGGAGGCAACACCTTAAATTAGCTGAAAATAACCCAGGGTATATCGTCAATGCTTTATGAGTGCCCATAAAAAAAGTCATTGGTAGACGGCAACTGGTGCCAGGAATATGATTAATTACCGCCCCCTTCCCCCCAAACAGTCGAACGCATGTTGCAGTTGCACTTTGTATGTTGCTCCCAAAAATTTGTTGCCACATTCAACAATTGCGCTTCATTATCGGCGTTTGGCCAGTGACCAGCAGGCAACAGCCAGCGACCATCAACTGCAACAGCAACTGCAACGGCAAAGGCAGCGGCAGAGACAGTCAATTACTGACCAGTTGCCATAGACTGTCTGTCTGTTTTTCCCATTTTCTCAATTTTCATCGTTCGGCTCTCGTTTCTCGGGTGTTGTTGTCAATGTCCTGCTGCGCTATTATTTGTCTTGTGTCAGTGAGCTGGGCTCAGCTCTTGGGCACGTAGCCCTCCTGACCGTGTATAAATTGCTTTACGGCACTTTTGGGTCATTAACGAAATTGAAAATGCTTGACAAAGAGTTGAGTTGAGTTCAGTTCAGTTGAGTTTGAGTGTGAGTTAATATAAGTTCAGCTGAGCTCAGTTCATTGCGGCTGTTAGCTGGTGGCCCCGCCATTATATCAATGCCACCTATTTTGGTAGTTGGCTAATCATTAGACACCAACAGTGCTGGCACAGTGTGGGACTTGGAAGCTAAAAATACTAATAATAATGATCATTATTATATATATAAAATGTTTTCTAGTTTGAGCGTTGGACTAACAAGCAGCAGATCGCCGGCTGA